AATCATCATGAACACGCCATATGGTTTCACCAAGAAGGTTTGCTACTGAAAGAACTGTCAGCTGTGGGAAATAGTTCTTCTCTGATACTGGTAATGTGTTTGTAATGATCACTTCTTGAAAAAGGCCACCTGATAACCTCTCAATTGCAGGAGGGCTGTAAAAAAGAAAATGAACAAAAGGAGATAATACACAGGTGAGATGGGTAACACTGTGAGAAGTATCTTATATTTTCCCTATTATACAAGCCTGAAATCATGACAAATTGTTTTCAAGTAATAGGTGCTATACTGCAATGCAAACCCAAAGGTTGAATGGTAAATCAAAAATTAGAAATAACTGTGGAATTCTAGGTACCATCTTAGACCACCACTAAATTGTTTTACATGTTCAATCTTGGCATCTTAACATATAATACTTTGTTGTCTGACCATACCTGCAGTACTCATGACAATGATATATGACTAGCCTCTACAATATTATATACATCAATCTTTGTTTCTTTTGGAATCAAAATAGAATTATAAGATGAAATTTGAATCTACACCGTTCACTAAGAAGCATAAGATAAATATTAAGCACTCAAACCAGTTAATACCTAAAAACAGCATGAGTGCAGCATGCATAGACTTCCTTCGCCCCTTCTTGGTGTAACAGTGCTGCTCCTTTTGCAATTGTCCCTACAAACCAACAAAAGTTCACCATTGAACAGAATCAATTTCCATGGAAACCAATATCTATTGTTTGTGCTTGGTGTGCATTTTCATCAGTGAGAACAGGTTCGTGCTTGGAGTTCATCATCTAGTTTACTCACCAGCAGTGTCAATCATGTCATCCACCATGACAGCTACTTTCCCTTTTACATCACCAATAAGGTTCATCACCTATAAAATAAATGTAGGCATGGACTTGAAGATGTGAAGAAAACAATTACAATGCAGAAAAGAGAAAAAAGGAAAGTCCAATTAAATCAGCATCCATACAGAAAGGAAAAAGATATACATTTACTACACGTCTGAAAGATTATAGCTATTTACATTCTAGTTTGTGAAAGATTATTTGGTCATACATGCACTATATTGCACAGTCAACATGATCACTGATTAATAGGTATCACACACAAAAATCTACTGAGATAAGCTATACCCAGGGGACATCAGACATGAACACTGTAGAAAAGAAAGTGAGTGAATGTAAGCCAATTGTTACAAAAAACCCTTTTTTCTTTTTGGCCAAAAATTGTTATAAAAACCATTGAAACCCAATGTTGATGACTTAATAAGAAGCTATATTCACTAGGAAATATGCATCACAAAGGAGATCTATCTAAATCACAGTCAATCACCACATCCATCTAATGCGCTTCAATGTGATTAAACAGTCACATGTTATTAGAGTGTAACAAATAGTCACCATTCGTCAATGACATTAACTCATTGATCACTGAACACACTTCTGTCTGACAGACCTAAATATGAATTGGATGTGAAAACATTTCTGAAATGTTTTTGATTAATTAGGTTTCTATTGAGCAGAAATATGTTTAGCCTCAATAACAACATCTCAAAATCCTCTGAAAATTAAAATGCAAAAAGTTAAACCTGACATGTTCATGGACTAATTTTGGGATACAATAGGAAGGAAATTAGTGCAGAGATGGCAGTTGGGGGTTTGGGGATGGGAAACTAAAGAGAATTAGTAATGTGAAATGGAATAATTAGATTGGGAAACCACATTTCAAGATAGGGAACTGTCAAGGGGTCAGAAATTTGGAAAAATTAGCCCTTACAATAGAATGGTGATCATAAAGTTTATAGAATCTTGATAGGTATGGATGAAATACATTATGAAAATAACCAAGGACAAACATATATAAAGTATAAACTGAGTTGTGCAGCAGAAATTACCTCAGCAACATTGTGTCCTTGACGCCTTTTATCCACAATGGCTAAAGGTGCATCTGATAATTTTTTTGCGAAGGCACGTGCTCTAGCAACTCCACCAACATCAGGTGAAACAACTACCAAGTCATTAGAATGAATCCCCTTGCTGGCAAGATAATCTAGAATAACACCCTACAGCAAACAAAATAACAATATAGAAGTGTAATTGATCAATAATCACTGAGAATCAAGTCAACAATTAGAAGTGTATGGCCCACCAACCTGACAATAAACATGGTCCACTGGAATATCAAAGTAACCCATGGACTGCCCAGAATGTATATCACAAGCCAGAACACGGTTGGCACCTGCTTCTGTGATAAGATTTGCAACAAGTTTGGCTGCAATGGACTCACGCCCTTGGGTCTGAGAAAGAAAGAGATATAAATATGTAAGAAGAAGCCAACAGGCAAGCATCATATGTGGAATGCAACATGGTTCTAAAGCTTCAAAATTTATTGCCTCACTAAACTGAAACCTCAAATACTTAAGAGCACAAATCATTTACACATAAATCTGTTCAAATTGATTCACAGGTTATCAATAGCAAAGAAGTCAGATTCAATCTATTCAGTTACCAAGCTAAGAAACCCAAACACACATAATTTTTCCCACACAACGATGCATCCAAAGTGCAGAGATCAGAGCACATAAACTTGCCTTTCTGTCAGCTCTGGCATATCCAAAGTATGGAATCACTGCAGTGATGTTTTTGGCTGATGCTCTCTGACAAGCATCTATCATTATGAGAAGCTCCATGAGATTCTCATTTGCTGGAGGGGAAGTGGGCTGCACTAAATAAACATCACATCCTCTAACACTTTCTTGCAGCTGAACATAAATTTCACCATCAGCAAATCGCTTTATGTTGATCTTTCCCAGTTCTAGGCCCATGTAACTGGCAATTTCCTGCACATAAATAACAAAATAAGAGACAACTGAAGAGCCATAATTGTCCTCCTATATCAAGCATTTAACTCTATACATATTTATTTCAAAGGAAAACAAAAAAAAAAAAAGTACAAATTTGGGAATCACTCCATTGAATGTGAAATACTACTTTTTAATGTATATTTCACAAATTAACACCAACAGAAATGATGTTACTAAAACTAAAAACAAAAGGGAGTAAATCAATTACCTTAGAAAGTGCAGAATTTGCTGTGCCAGAGAACAGTTTCAGCTTGGTGCCATTCCTGTTAACGTTTTCCACCATTCCAGCTGATTCCAAGAACTTTGGCAGCGTCCTTTCATTAATGATTGGAATGGTCGGCTTCCCACTTCCAACACCCAACGATTCAGGCGTGTCACATTTCTATACCAATACATGTACCATGTCAGCACAAAATTTACAGAATTTTCATTTCCTTAGCTAAGCTACACCAAGCACAAGTTTAGTCTCATTCTTTGTAATTAAATTAACATCCTGTTTCACAGTTAATTTCATTCTTCCCCACATGCACCGTCCACATGATAAACACAAAAATTGAATAAAGGGACAAAAAAAAAAAAAGTTGAAAACTTTGCAAAACAAAGAAAAAACGAATCTTCATTTTTTTTTTAAATAAATAAAAAACAAGTATCTTACAACGCAGTTTGCAGGGAAGATTCGCGAACGAGAAGCGTTGAAGCCCAAATTTATGCGGCCGCGCGGGGAGAGGTCGAAGAGAGAAGAAGAATTGGAAGACAGAAACAACGACGCTTGCGAAGAAGACGGCAAAGTCACTGACGCCATTCTGGCTTCTTTCTTGCCCGCGATTAGGGTTGGGGTCGTTCGGCGCCGGAATCTGTCGTCGGAGTTGTATCAAGCGGTGGCGATGCAGTGCCTACAGAGCTTCCCTGGTGCTTTATCAATGAAGCTTCGGCGCAATTTTGGATTTATATTTTTGTAAGGTGGCGCCCCCACGAGGCAAAAGTAAACAGCGTCGGCTGGGGCAAATTATCCTTTCGTCCCCAATCTTTCTAACATGGAATGCTTTCATCCTAACCTTCATTTTACAGCTGCAGTCATCCCAAACTTTTATGAAGTTATTCAACATTAGTCCTTCCGTCAGAAAGAATGTTAAATTCTAACGGAGTGCTAACGTCGCTAACAATGGGCTCCATATGAACCCTTCAGCGGTAAAAGCCAGCCATTTTTTTTTTTCTCTCTCTCTCCACCATATCAAATTAAAAGGCATAAACTCGTCTACTTTTTCCATCTTCGTCAATCTTTGATTTTTTTATTTTCTCCGTTCCAAATTTTGTAAGACTCTTTGCAATGCCATGAGAGAATTTCACCATTCCACATATTTGAGTAAG